TCTTCTTGATGTTTTATACCCACAATGATAATATTGTCTCTGTTCGTTCGATCGTTCCTTCTATCGCCACTGTCACGACGAAGACAATATATTTTGGAAACAATCCAATGACTCCGTGACTCTATATAGGTAGGCTCTATCGCTGGTTTCCTGTTTTTATGGACTATATGGATTATAACACACAAAATACTGGAAATCTAACAAGGCCTACATAATATCGTACACGTTTTTTTTTATTTTCATCTATAATACCCAACCAGTCGATGTTCCTATGCGCATTTATACGTAGGTAATCATTTGGCATAAAACAACTAAAATGTTTGTTATTTTGTATTTTTGCGTGTATATGCACAAATCTACGGCGTACACGAACATTAATTGGTATACCTAATCAAATTGTGTATTCAAACATCGTTTATACTGTCCGGTATAATATAACTTTATATTATATAATAATTTCATTATTATTTTATGCAAACAAAATGCAAAACGATTGCGAATCCGGTAAACTCGATTAAGGTTGATAATATTTACGAAGCCACGAAAGTAGTAAATCTTCTGGTAACAATACTTAATATTGACTATTTATATAGGTATGTATTGTTGATAATTATAATAATTATTGTTTCAGTTTTAATTTTATAGAAAATATATTTCTATAATTACTAACATCATCATAAAAAATTGAAAATTTAACTCTATCTTTCCAAAATGTTTTGGTCCAAGGGAAGAAAGGCTTAAATCAACCGTTGGCATTATTTTTTTATAATTGTGTAATTTTTTTCGCTTTATTTTTAGTCTTAATGGCGTAAGAGTGTATATTCTAACACCTGTTATACTAATTACTGAAATATTTAATGTCGTTGGATGTACTTTTAGTTTGGCGGTTTGGTCAAATTGGTATATGTATACGTTATATTATAATTGTATGACTTATACCATTTAGAACGCCTGCATTTGGGTTATGCCATTCAGTAATTTAGCAATCACACCATTATATCATTTAGTCATTTTTGAAATTTAATTTGTATTGAAAAATATACAAAATTGATTTAACTGATTCAAGCCATTTGATACTAAATATACCTGACAATATAAAAATTGTTTTGTATTTGTATGGCATAACTGAAATTAAAAAAAAAAAAAAACCGCAAAAATTCAATCTATACGAATACATGGAGAATTTTTTATTTGATTGTGTTTTTAGATAATACTATAAGTGAATTCGAATTTTTGTTTTTTATTTACTACCCAGGTAGTTACAAAAATAAGCATGCATAGGTAAAATGAATATCAACAGTCGAATTGACCTTGGTTCAAATTTAGACATGTGATACAGAGGCGTAATTTGTAATTATTTATTGACGAGAAAATAATTGAAATAAAAATGACAAAAGTGTAGTTAAAATTTATTCTTTGCGGATACTTTAAAAAAAATAGTTGTTTAAACCGAAAAAGGGACTATCCACTATATGATTTACTGGTGTGTGGATTGATACTTTTTTAATCATTATTTAAACTCATTGAATAGTATGTACCTATTAGGCTAATAAAAAAAAAAATAATAAGATGATAATTAATTTTTTTTTTTTTTTAAAGGGCATTAATTTTAAATTGAAAAATTGTACAAATCATTATGAAATTAGGCTCACTATTTTTCGATTTTACGGGAAAGTATTTTGTAATATTTTGTTTTTGGTCTCCAAAAATGATCGAAACTATTAATATGAGATTATGAGGTAATTAATCACGTGCAAAGGTGAAAAACAAATTGAACATTACTATACATACATTACATACTTTTTTTTATTTTATAAGCGTTTGAAGTACAAATTTTGACGAAAGTCGTAAAAATTACGGTTTTTCAACACGTATATGTTTAACATTAAACTGGGAATTTCGCTCAGAATCATTTTTCGTTTCCTGCAGATATAAATAAAGTTATTTTAGTTCTTCTATACATCTTTCCAACTTTACACTTACAGCAATGCCATATTCATCAGTAGCAACATCTTTTTTTTTTAAATTGTTTTTTAGGTTCTGATTCATTGCACGTTTCACTCGTTTAAACACATTGCTTTATGCTCATGCTTATTGCGTTGCTTATTTATTTACAGTAAAAACATGCTTAAGGTTTGTGATAGGAAATAATAGACTAAGCGGTTTGGTAATTTTACATGTTTATTGTTCATAGAGATACCTATTGGAGTTAGCACAGATGCTATAATAGAAAGAGCTGCAAAGCAAAAACACCGAAAAATAATGTTTATTTTGTAATAAATTTCGTTCTGTAACTTGAAAGTAATAAGTACCTACATATTGTATATTGTAGCCTTATAGTCTGTAGGTTTAATTTCAATATGACAGACAAGACTTAAGTAAATATAGTGATATACATTAAAATATTTGTTTTATTTTGAAGATGACATTTATGAAAAATTATTTGACTAATTTGACTTATTATTTTATTTTATTAAGAACATATTATGTATACATTTAAAATAAATAAAAGGACATTTTTGTTTGTTATTTTTTTTATTGGTATTGTTGGTATTAGTATTGATATTGTTTTTTAACTAGACAACATATCTGTAAGAATGTAAGATACTAATAACAATATGAATATCGCCATTTCTTTCGATTTATTATTCGATATTAAAGTAAGTGAAAGACCAACACGATGATTTTTTTTGTATATTAACACACGTATTATATTTAATACAAAATATTATTATAATTATTATCGGTGTTCAATTCTGTTCATATTTCAAATTTCACGGGCTATATGGGGTTAACCGTTGACGAAATTGTGTATATCGTGTGAATCAGGAAACACGAGCCAAGATCTATAGATTATCTATTGAGTATAACAACAATATGAATAATACGATGACAGACAGTCTAATCGATCGATAATGGAAGGCGCAGTGGCTATTTATAAAAAAGAAAAAAAAAACAACATATAATGTCATGTTTAGATGGTAATATTCCAAAAACCATTTTTAAGCTTTGTTTTGTTGATTTTTTTTCGTTATTTTTTCTATTGCAACATATTTAATTTGTTCGTTTCATCAAAAAGAATAAACTTTTTTTCTGTATATATTTTAGGTTATTGTCTAGTGTAAATTCGATACCTACACATTTGATACTGTATTCCTTATATAAAAAGTGTACGCTTTTTTTGTTTTGTTTTTTTTTTTTTAGCGAATGTGGCTATTGTGCTAGGTACTCGTAGGATGAATACGAATATTTGATAGGTGCAACAGAACGAGCAACAGAAAAAAAAAAATTGAAAATTGATAAGTATTATAGGTATGTCCTGGTTGCGGGCATCGGATTTTGAGATGTCGTCGACTATAATATTGTATATATTATACTATAACGATAATAACATTATTATTACGATGCGTTTCAAGGCAAACTTTCGACACGCGTCGCCATCCTGCGGACGAGCGTTTTGCGAGCATCGTTTCCCCACCCACGCCGGGCCTATTATTATTATCGTTGTTATAATAAGGAAGCCCCGCGTTCAAGTCTCCTCGTCGACGTCGTTATCAGTACATACGATTCATTAGTTACCGCCTCATATATGCAAGCCGCGTGATTAGTCTGCCCGCAGTCCGAACACCGCAGCTACGCACACGTTTCGGTTTTCGCGGTAGAATAATTATTTTCGTTGTTTGTTTTACGAACGTTTTTTTCAAACATTGTTTTTTCTAATTTCTAATTCTATAAACGGGTTTCGATCCGATTTCCTTTAATTTTACCTTTAGAAACTGCGTATTATGAGCGTTTTAACGACGGTCGTTGTCGTTTCGGTCGCGGTGCTCACGGTCGTCGTCGGTCCGGCCCGATGTCAAGTCGACCGCGTGGACAACAAATACTTGGATCCCAACGAATATTTTCTGGCCGGCGGTGACCAACAAGACCGTCGACGCGTCCAGGATGCTTTCAATAGGCGAGTATTATATCTACTCTATGATCGGGTACTACACAATTTAGGTACTTTGTTTTGCCCATGAAACGTGACGTTATGCTTGACATTTTCGGAAACCGAAATTTCTACTAGAAAAACAAAATTTAGTTACTGCTGTCGTAATTTTTTTCGGATTTTCTAATTATTAATAAAAATCAAAAATTGACCACATGCTCAATGCACCAAATTTCATAAATTTGCTACAATTTGAAATTGGAGAAAAATTTCTGGTAGAAAAATTCTGCACAGACGCAAAAAATAGATAAACTATTTTTTTTTTTTAATAATACATCATTTGTACACGTATGCAAAATACTATCGAAAAATGTAATTTTGTATACTTTTTAATGTCTTCACTACTTCAGACTAATACTTAGGCATATTTAACTATAATATTATACTCCCTTTGGTGGGCATTAACTGGTTAAAGAATTAAACTTAATAAATTAATTCAAGTTAAATTAAAAAATGAATTTGTATGAACTAAAAAATATGTCAAAATATTATATTACTTCTTATTGAATACTTTTAATGTTGATTATTGAAAGGAAAAAATACGATAATTTTTTTAACTGAGTTAAGTTAACTTGTTTTTGCATTTTGACATTTACCTCAACGAGTTTGATTTATTTTTTGTAAACGTTTAACTCGTAACTGACTACTTTTTTGTTTTATTCAACTTAATCGAAATAATTATTTTCATTAACTGGCATACTTTTGTTCCCAATAAAATCGATTAAATTAATATAATATTATTACTCTTTATTCTCCAATAAAATTACAGACGATATTCAGTACCTATATATTATCACAATAATATTAAATTCACGGTGATCTATAAACTGTCGAGTTACCTGTATAATATAATATGTTACTTTATACGATTATTTGATGATTATATTATAAAATCGACACTTTCGTGTGATACTGTTTTTAATTTCCACAGGTATACGGTGCAGCAGCAACAACAACTGCTTGCGGACCAGCAGTCACGTTCCGGTTTCGACGGGATATTCCAGCAACAGCGACAACAGCAGCAACAGCAGCAGCTGCAGCAGCAACAGCAGCAGCTGCAGCAGCAACAGCAGCCGCAGCAAGTGTTCCAGCAGCGGAACGGTAGAAAGTTCAATATCGACGAGCCCGAACAGAATTTCGAAACTTCCGATAGGTTTACGTCCAGGTCCGACACTCAGCCACCGCCGCCGCCACTGTTGAATTCGCAATACGGACCGTTGACGTTATCTAACAATAACATCAGGCAATTACTGCAACAGCTCGACGTGGCCGGATCGCAACAGTGCAATCTCAACGTGCAAGCGCAATGGGATTTCGAGACGAACGTCAACGAGGCGACGCAAATAAGAGCGGTACGTATATATTGTTATTAATTATTGATGGCTTTAGAGTTACGATTAGATTAGATATCTATGTGCCCTAAAAACCTTTAGATATTTATGTAGATATGTAATTTAAAAAGAACAAAGTGTGCGCTAAAAAAAAACAAAAAATGTATAAAAAATCTGGATAGGACGGTCATATTGTTAATACGCCGGAAATCTCATAACAACCTATTTGAGTAAAACAAATTAATAAATAATAATATGTTTGTATCTAATAATGATATTAACAACTTGCCTGCTGATATTCATAAATCTTGAGCAATTATTTTGTGATTTTTGATTCGTTGAGTTGAATGTACGTAATTTAAGATTCTGAGTGAAGCGAATTATGATCTCAATGTATAACAAATTAGTATTTATTATTAGTTGTGTTACATTTACTACGACTAGATAATTGAAATAAAAATCATTATTTTATTTGCAAATCATAGTAGAAAGCTACAGAAATATGCATAATATATAACATAATATGAATAGAGCAAAATATAGCAAACAAAATAATATTGAACTTTTTGGCTTATAAATACAATTTTAAATTTCATTACTGAATAAATTCGTGTTTCGTTTTTTGGACTGGGGATACACGTGCTCATAGACACGCGGTTTAAAAGTGATACGGGATAATATTAGAGGTAATATCTCAACGAAAGCTCCAATGTATCTATGTATATATTATAAAAGTATGTATATAAGTTTCTGTTAAATCCGATTTGAGGTTTTTATTATTATCATTATTTTATGTTAAAGGCACATCACTATAAATTAATATTTAAATCACACATTTCGTAAGATGACAAAAGAACATAGGAAAATTATATACATTTTTGTGTTTAACCATTATTAGAATTTTATGTTCTGAATGGAGCGAATTAGCTTATGGTTTCACAAAGATGTTCGTTCATTTCTTTTTTTCCGTGAACAAATTTTCTAACAGAAATCTTGCTCCAATTTTTAAGTGTAACACAATTTCTGACAGTAAATAAGACTGGGGAGGTACTTTAAAGTGGTGATTTTTTGATTTTCAGGAGTTTTCCCAATAAATGGAGAAACCGGGAAAATAGGTACAATATTAAACAAATATTATTAAAGAAAATATATAATGCCTATGTAATTATTTTACCATAATATGAAATGTATATATTGTTCATGAAATAACACTATCAACTGAACTCCGCTCAGAATCGTTTTTTTTCGTTAGCAATAGTTTATCGTTGCGTTACAGACATACATTCAATTTCCCCTCTACTGATTTCTCAACTTAATTCCTAGAACAGTGGCTGCACCCACGTGCTAAGTTGCCCTGATTTTTTAAAATTATTACTAGCATATTATTAAAATCTTTTTTTCAGAAATAATGTTTTTACAAGTTAAAAATTCTTCAAGTATCAATAAATAAAATACTTTTAAGTATTATTTATTTTTAATCATAGGTAATGATTTAATTAGACTCAAGTAATTCAGGTTATACTCTATCATTATATTCACTAGTTGAGAAACACTACATTATAGTGGTTTTATTACAATGGCACGTGATTTCCGCTTAGGTCTGCAGGTTATGTGTCTTTTTTATGCTCTTGTGCGTCCGATTATTGAATATGGTGCGGTCATTTGGGATCCTCATACCACCGACTATTTCTTGCAGATTGAAAGAATCCAATGCAGATTCTTGAGATTCTCTAGTCATTTATTGAACATTCCTTGTGGTTCTTGTTACTAAGTCCCTGTTTCTAAAGTGCTCAATTTATTTCCATTTACGGAATATAGGCGTTCCATTAGTATTTCCTTTTTGAGAGACTATTGAAAAATAAAGTTGACTTTTCTGTCTTATTCACATTGATTAACTTTAAGATTCTACTGAGAACTACAAGAACTATTGTTTAATACAAATTTGAGTCCCCTAAATTGTTTTCCAAAAACGATCTATGAACATCAGAAACGTGCAGTTTTACAATTTTCTTAGCGAAATCTCTATTATCATCCACTTACAACAGGGGCCTACCCGTAAACAGTAGTAACTTTTTTTTTATTTTTACACATCATTATATAATAATATTCAAAAATTCATTCTCATAAAATGTGGTTACATATATTAATTTTTTTCTTTTTCATAGTTACATGATAACATCGCGCACATGCTAATTGAAATTTATGTACACTCGATCGGAGGACTTCGTAATAATAACTTGATCACGATTATACGCGTCTATGATAATAAAAAAATGATTTAAAACATTATACAGTCACCACTTAAAATTAGTATTATATTTTTTTCTTTAATAAGGTTATTCGTAATGTTCGTATCGCGGTAATGTCTCTGCCGTGGTCTGCAGAAGCAAATAATATCTCGCGCTTGAGCTGATCGGGAAGGTCGCGTCGCGTTTACGAAACTACTCACGTCCCGCGCGTTTTCCCGGGTATAACTTTACGATTTCTGTGGTCGTTTTTTAAAATTGTTTTTCCACGTCTTTTCGGTGACAGCGGTAGTGTGGTCATTCGAAATGTTTAACTACCTGCACACAACCGGCAATTATTATTATATTATTCTGTCGGGCGGATATAAAGCATGACTAACATACACGGACGACCTTGACATTGTATTCGCGTGTACACCCAGTATATACAAAAAAAAAAAAAAAACGATAGATTTGTATCATTTTTTTCTCCTAATATGTTTAAAATTTATGTATTTTTTTACATAATAATAATCGTATTATATTAACGTGTATTACAATAGTGTCGAATAATAGATTATGATAGTTGATTATATTATTATTATTTTTGGACTGTTTTTTGAAATTTTTTTTTTGTGATAATAAACTACTTTACATATTCTTATAATAAAATTACTAATAAGGGTGACATTATTTTCTAATTGGACGCCAAGTCCTTCGATGTAAAATATTATATCGAACACAATGGGGAAAACAGGACACATATATTATACTATACCCAGCCATTTCATTACTATTTTTTTTTCTTCTCCGGAGGTTGCGGTCGCGATGACAAAACATTTTGTCCGCGAATTTTCGATAACAATAGTACCTATGGATATCGTTTATTATTTATTCATTTTTTTTTTTTTTTAATTTATTGATCAAAAATGCTTCCTCGTTTTTTTTTTCGATACCATATTATATTAATATATTGGCGTTTACGATGTGCATTATAGGTATAATTGGTTCTGGTCATTGCACCCTCGTGATAATAGGTTACTATATATTAACTATGAAATGCCTAAGAAAACTAAGAAAATTTTGGGAGTTTTTTTTTTATCGATTATTTTGTATCCAACGTAATTTTGTCTCGCTTATTTTTCGGTCTAAATTGCATAAGTGTGTGTACTTATAAAATCAGTGTATTCGTGTATTAGTTTATGCGCATGTGTTTGTATTGAAAATTACACACAATTGAATTATGCCCTTCTTCCCGGCCGGGACCAAAGATATTGTGCCTACTATTATATTACTGTTATCTTATCGTATCCCTTTCTGCCGGCAATACGAGAAATATTACAACATTTAATTGGCACTCGTCCATTGCGTAACGATTCATAAATACCGCTACTTATTCCATAGGTATATTATCTACACACGGCATTGTTTATCCCGTGTGACCAAAGGTTTCAGCAGCGCCGTATGTGAATCTTGACCAAAATCGCACGGGAACCCCGCGGTTAGCCTTGACGGCGTCTACCTATAAGAATAATACGATGTTATTATGTCTGTGTTCTGACTTTATACGAGTGACGTTTGTTCCCGCACCTTATTCCAAATAATTGCGTATCGTTTTACTATTATACATGAGTACGAGTGGAAAATATATTATAGCAATTCAGTACATTCTCGTGTCGTGTATGAGAATAGAAATCATGCGCTATACTGTCCTGCCGTACGAAACGTTTGCGTTTCATAAGTACCAGCTAGTATAGTACCTATAATCTATACTATAAAGTTAATGAGTATACGCTATTGTAATGCGTAAAAAACAACGAACCATACATACCTACATATTTGTCTTAATGCTGTCGGAGCTTGTTTTCAAAATTACGGTCCCCAATTTTGTACAGTTTGAACGTTATTTTTAACATCTTAATAATCGTCTTAAACATAGTAACTGTCGAACAATGTACAGTCAGATATCCATTTATGGAGAGGGGTGCGACTTGGATTCTGCCGACTAGATTGTTTTCAAAATGTCTAAAATGTCAAAAATCTATAAATTGCATAATACACGCATTTTTAAAATCACTTTTAAAGAC